ATGAAAACATGTATAATTAATAATAAGTAATAAACCTATCTATAAAACAAAAACACACAACAAAATTACTAAAGTTTTAATTAAAATTAAAAAATTTAAATAAAATCTAAATCTAACTGTAAAGAGCAGTCAGCGACTTTCCTGACTGCTCTTTACAGCAGATGAGAGATCTGTGTTACAGAGGCACGTGGGTAAAGAGATCGCCTCACACACCGGCCACTGATTTGAGCTGGACAGCAGATGATTCTTGTGCCCTGTGACCTCTCACCTAAATATGAGTCCAGACCTGTGTTTGGATTGGCCGAGAGCTGGTAACGGGTCAGATGATCTTGTCGTCTGACACCTCTGAGCCCGGGGCAACCACACAACCCTTCACTCACTATCAGTGTCTCATGTGAAAGTGCACTCACAGCATTCAAAGACTACTTACACAAGCACATGCAAAAAGCATCTTGGTCTTCTGCGGAGTACTAAAGTTCAAGTTTGGTGACCTCTGACCTGTTGGGTTTGAATTTCGTTGCATACTCACGACTGTAGTGTCACTGACTAAACAACATCAGTAATGCAGCATTACAGTAAGTGGCAGTAATAAGAAGGGCTGCAACGGACCGCAATTGATCCATGATCTGTACAGACCAGTGCCCGGTTGCATGAAAGCCCATAAGTAATTTGACTTAGGGGTATCCCTGAGGGGAGAAAATCCCTGAGTCAAGAGATTTCTTTAAGAGCATTGCAACAAACTTCTTAACTGTCACCCTTACCTAAGTGTTTTATACTAAGCGTTTCACGGTAGTTTCTGGCAACATACGGCAATGGGCGCTGCGGTTGCTATAGTTACTACATATCTCACAATAAACAGAACATAACGAACCAAAAACCTAACCTTTACTACAAGTACAAGTACAACTTTACACAGTTGTGCTAATATATTTGCGTTATGGAGAATACAAACATCACAGAAAACTAAAAATGTAAACCAAACTGGACAGAGGACGAAAAGGCTATTCTTTTAGAAAAGGGGTGTCCAAAGTCCGGCCCATGGATGAATTTCAAACGGCCCGCAACTTGTCTATTGAAATGTATTATATGTGTCCCGCCAAGCATAATCTACAAATCATGCAGTTTCACAATGTCAACACAAGGTGACAGCACTAAATGTCGCAGTAAAATGCGAGTGACAACAATTTGATAAGTCGTATGTGCTGCCATTTCTTTAGCGCACGAAAATTCATAAGCGCACCAAAAGCGGAACAGCGCTTCTTGTCTGAACTGCGCTGCACGACCATTATTAGCTGCCTAAAGACAGTGCAGACCGAGCTCAGAACAAATGTGTTTTCTCGCTGACTGATCTCGATCACGCGATGACAAAACAGTGCTGTGAGATCCAGTGAAAAGCATTCGAGTTTGAAGCAGAGGTCTCCGATACAAACCAGATATCGCGGTGATTTAAACTAGTTTAAAGGCAGATGAAACAGCGCTGACACTCTCAACAACACTGACACGGAGAAACTGTAGAAACATTGTGTTTTATACACAATGCAGTTAGGATACTTTCAATCCACAAATCACCAACAACTGTAACTGTGATAGTGGCAGAAATGTAGGATATTCATATAGAATCGAATGAATCAATTAAATAAATCTTGCTGTCAAGCGCACAGTAGAAGTTATGAAAAAGTATGAAAACGTACTACTCAAGAAAAGAAATAATGACCTAAAACAGAATCCAAAAAAAACGGTGAGTAACATTCAAGCTCATGCAATTTAACAATTGTTTTATTGTATAAAGGAGGAGGGCCACCGTCACAAGACCTATCCGAGACAGCGAATGTCTTTTGCTTTCAAAGATGGTCTCTTTTGTATTGTGATATAAAGGTACAGAGTTTACGTAAGGTGCTAATAATAATAATTCCGTAATAATAATAATAATAATAAACAACATAAAATCAACCATCACGTTTGAGCTTAAAGGGTTAGTTCACCCAAAAATGAAAATTCTGTCATTAATTACTCACCCTCATGTCGTTTCAAACCCGTAAGACCTTTGTTCATCTTCAATACACAAATTAAGATATTTTTGATGGAATCTGAGAGCTGTCTGACCCTGCATAGACAGCAACGCAACTGAAATGTTCCCAAGTCCAGAAGCTGTTTTGGTCACTTACATTTTAAGGTGAAATGGTTACTAAGGACTTTGTAGCAAAGCTTAAGGTAACACTTAGGGTGCTTTCACACTTGGTTCGCTTGCCTGGTCCGAACCTGAGTTTGATTGCATCATCAAGCCAGCAGCTGTTTACCCCGTTGCTTAATAACGACGGCTCATTGCTCTCGGCACTTTTATATATTTACGTTTTTGAACCGTTAGTTATGTTTACAAAGCTTTGGTACATAACGGCACTTACGTCTGTCTTACGAATGTACTGCAAATGCTCTAAAGAACCCTGAAGGCGAAAAGAAATGAGATATACAGCTCTCTGTTTGCAGCGCATCAGGAAAGTGAGAGAAACACACAAACAAACACACATTTTTATCAAATAATACCGCATTAATAGCGGTTCACTTCCGCAATTTGGTACGATTGCGTTCACATCAGCAGCAAACCGTAACGGAGTTCACACGAACCGTACCCCAGACCACCCTTTTTAAGCGGACTCGGGTACGGTTCGCGGGTGCGCACCCGAGTTCGGAAGACAGCGTTCACATCATCCAAACGAACCGAACTCTGACGTCAATCGAACCCGGGTGCACACCAAAAGTGCTAGTCTGGAAGCACCCTTAGATACTTAAGGGGTTCCTTAAGTTGACCCTTAGGTTCTTGCAACCCAAGTTTCACTAAGGGTGCCCCCTAAAAGATTTCTTAGCTTAAGGGCTTTCATGCAACCGGGACCAGGCCCTACAGTTTGGCATGATGTGATTCACCCTTTAGGGGTTTGTTGCAACTGGCTGTTGGTCAAGTGTTTCTGAAAGCATATCAATGAACTCTTTAATAAAAAAAAAAAAATGTTTTAAAAAGAACAGTCTTCACCAACTGTTTCCATTGTCAGAAGTTGTGAATGGTACCAAAATAGCGAACCGTACTGTACCACTTTTTTTGGACCCTTCCGTTGAGGTGCCTAGCACAGTAGTCCAGTACCTAAAGGGTGGAGCTAGACTCACTGCAGAACGTTGCTTGGTTGACAGAGAATCTTCACTTGCGAGTGCTACAAGGGGAATGAAGCATCTCCTTCACTCGTTCCGCCATGCTGCTGGTGTGTTGGGCTTGTTTACATCAGAGTGCTCAAGCACAAAAAAGTCTAACAGTGTATTTTAGAATTTTATATTTTCACACACATACACAGACAATGTCGCGCTTTCTTCTTCGCGTGAGAACGGCGTTGATCGCTACTTTCCAGCATACACCATATGCCTATCAAGTAAGGGTACTGTTGGCGGTGAAAACGCAAGCTGGATCAGGGTGTATCGTCCCGAATCGCACTGAACCAAACCGTACCGCTCGGTGGAAACGAGGCTATAGAGAAGCGTTAAGGACTTGGGAAAAAAAAGGTTTAATATTTGACAATGAAGTTATTAAAACAGCCTTAAATATTGGTATTGTAATTTTACAATGAAATGTTACAAACTAATTTTTATTTTGTAATATTTAAATTAGTATTAAGTTATTATTTTTATTATTAGCATCATCATCATCGATAATAACAATAATTAATATTTATTATTGAGTAGTCATATTTATATATAAATCACAATGTTGGGGTAAATCTAGAGCTTTTTTAAATTAATTTATTTTAGTAACATTTTAAATAAAATTTTAAAATCACAAAATATATATATATTAATTAAAATTCAAAATGCAATTAGAATTTTTCCACAAATCGTGCAAGCCTAAATACTGATGGCGTTAAATTAGTAGGCAGTGTACAGTATTCAGTAATTGCCGAACAAAAAAAAAAGGAAATCTCTGATATGTCCTGTCCCAACTTCCTGTCTGAAGAGGAAATGTTCAAATGGGTGGGAGAACTGCGCTTATCAAGCCATTTTGAGTGGTATTTAAATGCAAAAGCCTTTAACAAAGTTGTTTAAAATATTTTTACAACAATTAGCATCAATAACAAACAAACAACAGATTCATTACGACACTGTTGAGAATCTATCAGAAGGAAAGAGAGACATCAGCCCTCCATGTGTAAGCGAGCGTGTAACGTCCTGCTCAACACACGCTGACCTCACATATCCCACAACGCACTGCATGATGAATGAGCGCCGCACAAGCTGCTGTCCTCCAACACACATCTCCCATGATCCTCTCTGCTTCACTTCCTCTCTCTCCACCTGCCCGACAGTGATTAATGTCTGTTCTGTGCTGCTCGACACAAAGAAACATTACACAGACCCCCACACAGTGTTCTGTCTTGTTTTCCAGTACAAATATCTATAAACATTTTTAAATTAAGATACATTTATTTGGGAAGGAAAATTATCAAAGATTATAAGTCTTGTTTTCTGAGAAATTGACTTAAAGGGGTCCTATTATGCTTTTTCACTATTTCAGCTTTAGCTAGTCTGTAATGTTGCTGTTTGAGCATAAAAAAAGATCTGCAAAGTTACAAAGCTAAAAGTCCACTTCAAAAGGAGATATTTTATTTTTACTTTTCAAAAACTACAACGAACGACTCGTTTGGACTACAATGCATATTTTCCGGGATTTGTGATATCACAAATATCGACGAAAGGGACGAGACCTGGTTGAGCTGCACTAGAGAAGGCAACCAGTGTTATCACAATGTTGGGAGACACGCTAGCTTTCCCAATGCAGACGAACTTAGAGTGGTTACAGTCATCCGGGTTTAAATCGCGCTCAAATTGATTTGATTTAATTTGATACAGGAACTATTCGAGCCGTTCATTTTCGAACAACCTAGTATGAGAGCCTGTTCTAGTACACCCCCAAAACAAAGTCAAGACTTTGTAAAAGAGCATAATAGGACCCTTTAAATTAGACAACCTCTAATCGACCCCTTTAAAACAAGAACAAATATCTGCCAGTGGGGTCAGCGCTTTCACTTTGAAGTAAGTTTATTTTTCTGAGGCCACTGGCAGATATTTCTAAGCATAAACTCACTTCATTTTGATGCATTTTTCAGAAAACAAGACTTTATCTTAAGTAATCTTGCAATTGAAGTAAATGGCTCTTGATTTAAGAACATTTCGATAATTGTACTGGAAAACAAGACAAAAACTGATATATACAGTATTAATATATTTCAGCAGTATATAGTGTTTATTGTGCATAGTACATTTTGTCAGTGTGTGTGTGTGTGTGTCATGGTTTCTTCTGTTCACCTTGAGGGCAAACGATTTGAGTGATGACATCATCCAAAATCAGACCCCACTGAACAGATGAAGATTTCAGAGTCAAATTACCCATAATCCATCACTCTCTGCCAACATGCCTCTCCTCAGGGCAGAATAAATAAAGGTTTGTAGTTTCAACACAGACGGTAACTCATTATGCAGCAGTGATATTAAGGGTTAAAGCAGCTCACGGTCTGTCAGGACGATTACAGTCTCTGATCAGAGTCTCTGAGTTACTGAACAGCTCAATGTTCGGATGTAAAGACATGAACTCACAGACAGAGCGGACCTAAAGAAAGAGTTTCAGTAATAATCACACACATACATGTTTGTTTATTCATCAGTCACTTTATTTTAAAAAGAGGCAAAACAACGTTGTCATAAATTAAAATACCAACTCCCAAAAATTGTGTAATTGAATAAAAATGATGCCAAAAAGTCAGTTTAATGGGGGGTTTTTTGTGCGTGTATTTTAATACAGAAAAGTAGGACTGAATTTGGGAAAAAAATTAAATTGTGATTTTTCTGATAATTGCGACTGCAATTAAAAGAAAGAAATAAAATTTTGTAACCATAATTTTGTGATTATACATCAACATTGCTATAAAACAACAGCAACGATAACTATTAATCACGGCTACTAAACTGTAAAATAAACAAATATAGTAATTAAAAAAATATAATACAGTAATAATTATTATTATTACTAATACTTGTAGTACTACTACTAAAATAAAATACACAAATTACTAAAAAAGAAAATAAAATTGCTTTTACTATTGTAATATTTAACTGTAAAATAAAAAATCTAGTATTTTAAAAATAAATAATAATAACAACCATTATTATTATTAAAATAAAAATAAAAAATTACTAAAAATAAGAAATTGCTTTTTTACTGTTGTAATATTTCACTGTTAAAAAAAAAAAAAAAGTATTTAAAAAAAAACAATATAATAATTTTACTTTCCATTACAAATGTAAAAACACAGTCTTCATTTTTTAATTCTCAAATGATTTCGGTTTTATTTCAATTAATCATGCAGCCCTACAGGAAAGAATCCTTCTGACTCTGATGCTGCTGGAAACACAATAAATCTATCAACCAATCAATAACTTCAACTTTAAAAAAAAGAGACAAATCAACCAATAATCTCTTCACTTCAGCCCTAAAGACCCGGAAAACACACTACAGGCGTCAGTTCAGCTAAAAATAAACTTTACGCACACGACAGCTGTAAAGTGGATGAAGTTCACGGGTCACGTGCAAACACACACACCACACCACACGCATCAATGAAGATACTCACTTAATGGTTTTTGATCTAATCGGTCAAAGAGATTTGCAAAAAAGTCTGAAACTGCTCATGATTCTGTTTGATTCACATTTCACTGACACACTGTACCGTTTGAAGCAGCTTCTCACACTGAAACAGCAACTGGAAATTGTATTATCCTGAAAACAAAAACAGCACCAGTTGAAGTGGATATTTACCAATCCACTGTAGAAAATAAAAATATATCCAAAATAGTATCAGTTATCAAAATATGGACACACTTTTTTGATGCAGAGTCTGTGAATGCGATCAGTATCATTTGGGAGGGAGATTAATGTATATGATACGAGTCGGATACAAGTACGAGATACAGGTACGAGTCGTGTCTTAAGTGAATTCAAACAAGAAGGATTATGTTACAGGGGTCCTATTATGCTCTTTTACAATGTCTTGAATTTGTTTTGGGGGTGTACTAGAACATGCTCTCGTGCTTGGTGGTTCGAAAAACGCATTATTTTTTCAATATTGCCATATCAATTTGAGCCGGATTCAGACCCAGAGAATATTGAACAAGAGGATCGTGCAGAACTTTTGCATGCACGGATATTGCAAGACATATTAGAGTGGTAACTTTGTTGTTGTTGTTTTTTTTGCTAAATCACGTTTTAGATAGGATGTCAACAACCGCTTAAAAATAACTGCATTTACTATGTACAGATA